AATAATGATGTTAATGATAATCATAATAAGTAATAATGATAATAGTAATGATAATGATTTTAATAATAATGATAATGGTAATGATAATAACAGTAGTAGTAGTAATCATGATAATAATAACAAGAATGATAATGATGATGATGAAGATAATGATCAAATTAATAATAATGGTACTACTGCTGATACTAAAAATAACAATGATAATGAAAAAATGATATTGATAAAGGTTATATTGCTAATGACAATGATGATAATAAAATGATAATAATGATAATAAACATGATAACAATTGTAATACTTGCAATAATGATAGTAATAATAATAATAATAATAATAAGGATAATAATAAGATTAATAGTAATAATAAAGAACAAATGATAATTATAACAATAACACCAATAATTATAATTATTATTGTAGTTGTAATAATGATAATAGTATTAATGATGATGATGATGATGATAATAATAATAATAATAATGATAATAATAACAATAATGATAATAATGATAATGATAACAATAATCATAATCACATTTATAATAATGATAATAACAACAGCAACAACAACAATAATAATGACTATGATAAGATAATAGTTGTAATCTTCTGTGATTACACTGTTACTGATAGTACAAAAAATATCAGAGGTTAACAAAATGGAAATTGATCTTTTTGTCAGATTTATTCACATATTTTCGCCCTCTCCGCCAAAGCATTAGCTGATAAATGGAAACAGTTTAATCGCAATACTGAATATCATTTGATTAATAAAAGGTAATAGTAAAGCAACAGAAGATCTTCTTAAACGATAAATGAGGGAAAAATGTCCCTGCATCTAAGACTCTAACGCACATACATACACACACATGTATACACACACACAAACACACATACAACCATACATACATACATACAAACACATATTTATCAATCCACACACACACAGCCATACATACATACAAACAAAAACATATTTATGAATCTACAACGAAATTGTTTTTATTTCTATTCCCTCACAACAAATGATTATCGTCAATTAAGCCTATACTCTACCCCTTAGCCAACGGCCTCTAACAAGCGTCCCCTTAATCCCCTTAATATCCACTCTACCCTTTAGCCAACAGCCTCTAAAGGTGCTGTCACACTAGCACTTTTTCTGTCAATTTTTTTTTACAATTTTCTGAAATTTTGTCCAATTTTGAGCGAATTGTCGATTCTCCAGTCAGACGATAATGATCGTTTCCGTCTGAAAACCTTTCCGTCAACTTTTTCAGCCAAGCAAAGTCAGATCAAGAGCTATATTCGAGAATGTTTGTATTCATGTTAAATAAAATTGTCAACTGACGAAAAAAGTGCTAGTGTGACACGGCCTCTAACAAACGCCCTCTTAATCCCCTTAATATCCACTCTACCCCTTAGCCAACAGCCTCTAACAAACGTCCCTTAATCCCCTTAATATCCACTCTACCCCTTAGCCAACGACCTCAAACAATCACCCCCTTAACCCCCCTTAATATCCATAAGTCTGGCGGAAGCGGAGGTCCGTGTGGTCCTTGGCTGTGATTGGCTGGTAGGCGGAAGACCCATCCAGAGGTGTAATAAGCACGGGGTCGTCGGGATGGACGAAGAAGACCACAGATCGTCGGGGACTCCTTCGTCTGACTTCTTCAGGAGGAATCAAGACGCGGTGTTCCTGGAGACGGGAGAAGGGAGGGAAGTGGAAGGATGATAATAATAATAATGATAATGATGATGATGATGATGATGATAATAATAATAATGATATGATAATGATAATGATAATGTAATGGTATAATGATAATGATAATGATAATGATAATGATAATGATAATGGATTAATAAATAATATGATAATAAGGATAATAATAATAATAATAATAATAACAATAAATAATAATAATAATAATAATAATAATGGATATCGATAATAATAATAATAATAAATAATAATAAATAATAATAATAAATGATAATGATGATGATAATCGGGATGATAATGAAATGGCGGGGTATGTCGGCGATGAAAGTACGGGAGAGGTGACGAGGGAGATAGAAAGGAGGGAGGGAGAGAGAGAGAGAGAGGAGAGAGAGAGAGAGAGAGAGAGAGAGAGAGAGAGAGAGAGAGAGAGAGAGAGAGAGAGAGAGAGAGAGAGAGAGAGAGAGAGAGAGAGAGAGAGAGAGAGAGAGAGAGAGAGAGAGAGAGAGAGAGAGAGAGAGAGAGAGAGAGAGAGAGAGAGGGAGAGAGAGAGAGAGAGAGAGAGAGGAGAGAGAGAGAGAGAGAGAGAGAGAGAGAGATGGTGGGGGTGGCGAGCGAGAGAAGGAGAAGAGCGAAGGAGAGAGATAAAGGGAGAGACAGACACAAAAAGAGACAGAAGCGAAGTAACAAATATATTACAACACACACACACAACACACACACACATTCATTTACAGCACATACATATTTATACATGTATACATATATATATTAAATAACTCACCGTAGCCCTGAGTTTTCCCGACGTCCAGAACTGCAAAATATCCCCGACATTCACAAGGACAGCGCCAGGGACAGGGACAGCGTCGATCCACCGTCCTGCCGTGTCCTTCACCTGGGAGAAAAAAAGGAAAACAAGTGAAAAAGAGTGAAAAAAATGGAAAAAATGGAAATGTGAAAATGTGAAAAAAGTGAAAAAATGTGAAAAAGTGTGAAAAAAGCGAATAAAATGAATGAATGAAAATTGTGAAAATAAAAGGAGTGAAAAAAGTTTTAAAAATGTGAAAGATGAGAAAAAGTGAAAAAGTGGAAAAAGTTTTAATACGTGTGAATATAAGTGAAAAAAACGACTGAAGTCCTTTTCCGTAGTGCAAATGTTTGCATGGTTATTTTGTCGGAATTTAGAACAATTTTCATAATGACTTTCTGCTCTTATCGTACAAACTATTTCCTTTTTATCTAAAATTTCTTTGACACGATTGCAGGAATAAAAAAAAAAAAAAAAAAACGAGATATTTTTAGGCAATTATGCACTTGAACGACTGGTATTTATCGACTTAATGGAACTCAGTGTTAGTAACATCAATATATTTCGAATAAAACATCATCTATCAAAACAGGAGTAAAGTAGTAAATTAGTAATAGTAATAATAGCAGTAGTGATAATAGTTGTAATAGTAATAAGTAATAGTAATAGCAATAGTAATAGTACAGTAATAGTAGTAATAGCAGTAGTAGTAATAGCAGCAGTAATAGAAGCAGTAATAGTGGTAGTAGTGGTGGTAGTGGCAAGAGTAGTAATCGTAGTAATAATGATGGTACTAGTAGTATTAATAATAGTGGTTGTGGTAGTAGTAGTAGTAGTAGTAGTAGTAAGCAGCAGCAGAGTAGTAGTAGAGGAGCAACAGCAGAAGTAGAAGAAAAAGAAGAAAAAAAGAAGAAGGGAAGAAGAGAAAGAAAGAAGAAGAAGAAAAAGAAGAAGAGAAGAAAGAAGAAGAAAAAGAAAAAAGAAAAAAGAAGAAGAGGAAGAAGAAGAAAAAAAAATAATAAAAAGAACAAGAGAGACTACGAACCAGAACCAGGAAAAGAAAAGAAGAGATAACCCTCACCTGAGCCCACCGATGTCAATCCTGAAACAGCAAAAAGAAAAAAAAAAAAAAAAAAAAAAAAGAAAAAATAAAAAAAAAAAGAAAAAAAAAAAAAGAAGAAAGAGACTACGAGAAAACCCCCCAAAAAAAGAAAAAAGAAGAGAGAGATAACCCTCACCTGAAGCCCCACCAAATCCTGAAACAAAAAAAAAAAAAAAAAAAAAAAAAAAAAAAACGAATAAGAAAAAAAGAAAAAAAAGAAGGGGGAAGAAAAAAACTAAGAACCAGAACCAGAAAGAAAGAGAGAGAGAGATAACCCTCACCTGAAGCCCACCGATGTCATCCTGAAAGATAAAAAAAAGAAGAAGAACGAATAATAATAAGAAAAAAGAAGAAAAAAAAAAAAGAAAAAAAGAACACAAGAACCAAACCAAAAAAAAAAAAAAAAAAAAAGAAAAAAAAAGAGAGAGAGAGAGATAACCCTCACCTGAAGCCCACCGACGTCGTCTTGAAACAGCAACGCGAAGGTCCCGTAGTCCGTGTGAGAGGCGCAGCGAATAGAACCTTCAGGAACGTTCTCCTGCAGGCTCGGGTAGTAGAGGATCCGAAGACAAGTCGTGTTGTTGTCGCTACACATCTGCTGGTGGTTGGACACGAAGAAGGCTGGGTCCTGGCCTGTCGGAGGGAAGGTACTGGGGTCTTCGGGTTTGTATCGGGTCGGTTTGTGCTGAGGTCTGGCTGTTTTTCTGGTTGTTTTCTGTTCTATCTATCTGTCTATCTATCTGTCTATATATCTATCTTTCTCTCTCTCTCTCTCTCTCTCTCTCTCTCTCTCTCTCTCTCTCCCTTCTCTCTCTCTCTTTTCTCTCGGGTCGCTTTGTGGAGGTCTGGCTGGTCTTTCTGTTTTGTTTTGTGGTCTCTTTCTCTCTCTCTCTGTCTATCTATCTGTCTTTCTCTCTCTCTCTCTCGCTTTGGAGGTCTGGCTGGTCTTTCTGTTTGTTTTGTGTTCTCTCTCTCTCTTTCTCTCTCTGTCTATATATCTACTCTTTCTTCTCTCTCTCTCTCTCTCTCCTCTCTCTCTCTCTCTCTCTCCTCTCTCGCTTTGGAGGTCTGTCTGGTCTTTCTGTTTGTTTTCTGCTCTCTCTCTCTCTCTCTCTCTGTCTATTATCTATCTTTCTCTCTCTCTCTCTCGCTTTGGAGGTCTGTCTGGTCTTTCTGTTTGTTTTGTGTTCTCTTTCTCTCTCTCTCTGTCTATGTATCTATCTTTCTCTCTCTCGGGTCGTTTTGGAGGTCTGTCTGTTATATCTATCTTTCTCTCTCTCTCTCGCTTTGGAGGTCTGTCTGGTCTTTCTGTTTGTTTCTGTTCTCTCTCTCTATCTTTCTTTCTCTCTCTCTTCTCTATCTTTCCTTTCTCTTCTCTCTCTATCTCTCTATCTATCTTTCTCTTTCTTTCTCTCACTCTATCTCTCTTTCTTTCTCTCTCTTTTTCTTTCTTATTCTCTCACTCACTCTCTCTCTCTCTTTCTCTCCCAGCTAAGCTCGCTCTGGTTCTCTCTTTTTTTATATCTACTTCTATTTTACTCTCTCTTTCCATTCGTCTATTTCTCTCTCTCTCTCTCTCTCTCTCTCTGGTCGTTTTTCGGCAGTGAACGTCACTATTACTCATAAGGTAAATACTGTTGTTATGATATCCAAACTTACCTTCCACGCTTACCCTTCAACCATGACCTGGGCTGACCTGGCTACGTTTAAGTTCTGACCTCATGTTCCAGCCCGCAGCGTTATAAATAGTGTTCTATATTTATTTCCTGTCGACTCAATATCCTGTACTCTGACCTCGTTTCAATAAAATACTACAATGATAAATGTTTCAAATCAACGATATTTACCGATCACACACATAAAGCTCATCTGTTCACACCTAGTCTCTCGTTTTCTCTCTCTTTTCTTCCTCCTCCTCTCCTCTCTCTCTCTCGCTCTCTTTCTTTCTCTCTCTCTCTCGCTCTCCCCTCCCTCCCTCTTCCTGTTCACAACCTAATCTCTCCCTTTCTCTCTCTTTTTTCTCCCCCTCCTCTCTCTCTCTCTCTCTCTCTCTTTTCTTTCTCTCTCTCTCTCTCTCCTCTCTCCTTCCCTCCCATTCTACCCAACCGCCCACCCTCCTACCCTTCCTCTCTCACCCCTTTCCATATCCCTTTCAACCTCCTACCTTCTTCTCTCCTTTTCTCTCTCACCCTTTCCCGTATCCCTCCCCCATCCCCCTCCAACCCCACCTCTCCAAGCCACAACCCACCTAAACCAATGGCCATCGCCTTCAGAATCCTTTCGGTGAGGCCCTTGCACGCGGCCATGAAGGTCTCCACACTCGGTCTCATGTTGGGGACCTCTTCATCGGGGAACATCCCGTCCGGCCGCTTGACGTCGTAGCTCTCTCGGAATTCTTGCGCTCTTCGGTCCTCGCTTAGCCTGGCGTTTGGGGAGAGGAAAGGGAAAGATCGGCTTAGGCGTTTCGGTTGTTAGGGGTTGTTGCACTTTTGATGTGAGGGGTTGGGGTGAGATGGATACACAATTTGTAATATTTATACGGTTTTGCGCGCTAGGAATCCACTTAGAAGCCAAGGGGGCGCCAGCATGGAAAAATACGGGAACCACTGCTTTCTAGGGTGCACTTACATGAATCTCCTTTTACCAACGAGCTGTTTTAGCTGTCTTATTCACGCAGGTTTTAGTTTGTTTACATTTTAAACTATAAAAGCATTCCTCATTCATTGATTACTCTGTCTTCTCTCTCTCTCTCTCTCTCTCTCTCTTCTCTCTCTCTCTCTCTCTCTCTCTCTCTCTCTCTCTCTTCTCTCTCCTCTCTCTCTCTCCTTCCCCTCCCTCCCCTCTCTCTCTCCTCTTCCCTCCCTCCTCTCTCATTCTCCTCCCTCTCCATCCCTCCCTATCTCCCCCTCTCCCTCTCCCCTTCCATCCTTCTCCTCCCCCCCTCCCTCCACCTCCCCTCTCATCCCTCCTCCTCCCCCCCTCTTCTCTCTCTCTCTCTCTCTCTTCCCTCCATCCCTCTCTATCTCTCTCTCTCTCTCTCTCTCTCTCTCTCTCTCTCTCTCTCTCCCTCTCTCTCTCTCTCTCTCTCTCTCTCTCTATCCCTCCCTCTCTCTCTCCCTTTCCCTCTCCCTCTCCATCCTCCCCCCTCTTCTTCTCTCTCCCTCCCTCCTCCCTCCTCCTCTCTCCCGCCCTCCCTCTCTCTCTCTCTCTCTCCTCCCTCTCCCTCTCATACAATCCACCACCTCTCTCTCCTCTCCATCTTCTCCCTCCCCCCCTCCCTCCACCTCCCCTCTCCATCTCCTCCCTCTCTCTCTCTCTCTCTCTCTCTCTCTCTCTCTCTCTCTCTCTTCTCCTCTCTCTCTCTCTCTCTCTCTCTCTCCTTCTCTCTCTCCCTCTCTCTCCTCTCTCTCTCTCTCTCCATACATATCACGAACCTCTCTCTCCCGATCGCCGTGTAGCCCTGGATGTCAACAACGCCTCTCTCGTATTTCCTTTTCGTGTTATCTTCGAGTTGAAAGAATTTCCCCGAAGATTCGTTCACTTCCTTGACCTGTAAGGGAGACGGAGAGGGAGGTAAGAATGTAAAAGGAAAGGGAGAGAGAGAGGAGGGAGGAGGAGGGAGGAGGGAGGGAGGAGAGAGGAGAGAGAGAGAGAAGGAGAGAGAGAGAGAAGAGAGGAGAAGAGGAGGGGAGAGAGAGAGGAGAGAGAGAGAGAAGAGAGAAAGATATAAAGAATACAAAAAAGAGAGACGGAGGAGAGAGGTTGATGAATGAGAAGAGAGAGAGAGAAGAGAGAGAGAAAGAGAGAGAGATAGAGAGAATAAAAAGAGAGGGAGAAGAGAGAGAGAGAGACAGAGGAGAGAGAGAGAAG